GGACATGCTGGTTTTTATAGAAGGTTCATCAAAGATTTTAGTGTAATATCTAAGCCTTTAAGTAACCTTCTAACAAAGGATAATATTTTTGAATGGACTGAACATTTTAAAGAAGTTTTTGTTAAACTTAAAAACTTACTTACTTGTGCCCTTATCATTTAACCTCCTGATTGATCATTACCTTTTGAAATAATGTGTGACGCTAGTAATTATATCGTAGGTACTGTTTTGGGACAAAAAAAAGATAAGAAACCTTATGTGATTTACTATGTAAGTAAAACTTTAAATAGTGCTCAAATAAATTACACAACCACTGAAAAAGAATTACTTGCTGTAGTATTTGCAAAAATTTATAATCCGATTGGAATCTCCTTTGTTTGTGGTTTCTAGTTGAGTAATAAGAGTTTATACTATACTTGATTGAAATACTATTAGTAGATTCTCTAACCTTGACAATTATTTTTATCATTTTTTAATCTTCACATTAATCTTACAATGTTAAGGTTCTCTTTAACTTGCTATTACTACTACCACTACTATTGTTGTTGTTTATAATTTATATAGTTAATCTCTTTCTAATTTGATCCTGATTTTATCAAGTTATTTATTATTTTAACTGCATTGAAAAAACATATTAATTTTGAAATTACATCATGAATCCCAAAAATTATGATTATTTAGGCAACGAAAGAATGCAGAGTGTGGAAATGGATGTTCAGGACAGACTGCTAATGCTAGAGTGGGCAATTATAGACCTCGAAGGGCTTTCTAGGAAGCTATTGTATAAACATTTGATATGTTTCTTCTTAGTTCTGAATGTTTTAGCTGATAAAATGTTGTTTCTATGTTTTTTCACTTCCTGTTTATTCGTTAAAGACATGAAGAAAGAAAGAAAAAAAATACAGAACGATGAGACTCCACATCTGCAGAAAAAAGCGGCCAGCCCTCTTATCATTTTCATTTGCTTTTCTGGTTCAACCTTTGTTGATTTGGATGACTTGGAATTATTGATCTTGAGACAGTCTTTTACTCTTTTGCTTGGTTGTTGCAACTCTTTGTACATAAATTATATTCTGCTCTTCAACAACAGAATTTTATTTACGTGTTCAAAGATGAGCTCTTTTGCATTGTTTTGTCAATGCTAAATACATCTTAATGTACTTCGATCAACTACTTCAACGGAAATTATGTCTTTTCATAGCTATATTCTGCTCTTCAAAACAGAATTTTATTTACGTGTTCAAAGATGACTCTGGTTTTTATGAGCCCCTCTCTTTTCTCTCTCTCTCTCTCTCTCTCTTTTTAACGAGAGTATTATTACGAGTTAAAGTTTTTTCCGCAGCAAAGTATACCGAAACTTCAAAACTTTATCCATGATGCTGACGACTGGACTCTTTAAATCCAGTAATTATAGTAACACAGCAGGAGATTCATTCTCCTGTAAAGCTCATGAATTTCAGGAGACAAATGATTCTGAAATTAACAACACAAAATATCAAGATTGTTCTAGCAAGTTCTCTAAATATAAGTTCAAGATGTATCTCCCTGTTGACAAAACATCAAGTCTCTTCTCGCTAGGTTCATACTTCCCCCTCCGAAGCTGGTATCGATGAGTTACAGAAGAAATGGTATATGCTTGCCCTTCAATTGTCACACTTTCTCCACATTGCAGGTTCTGCTACACCAGTAACAGCTTAAATGAACAAGAAATTTTTTTTGATGCACAATAGTAACATCAAATTCATCCGATGAACAAAGATATAAACATAAAAAATATGACCAAGGACAGACAGATCACTGAATTTTCTGTTTCTAGTGTACACGGACCGCAAAAGAAGGGTCTGCATTTTGGTTTCTTCTATTAGAAATCATACAGGCACATCTGACATTTACAACTCATAAATGCAAGGTAAACAGCTCATTGTTCCATAATTTGACCCCATACTATAGCCATCAGTCTTTTCCCAAATCAGAGGATACACAGAACATGGAATTATGGTGCTGCAAGAATACCCTAATTTCCCCAATTCCTTTTGGGGAACCCTGATTTGTGGAGCAGTGGAAGCCTGGACAGCATTTAAACAACATAAAAGCTGATATTTATTCCTCTTCTTTATCCTTTAAAGTAGGTCTGCTATCAGCAAGCAGGTGAACAGTATCTCAGGGATATGTACCTTTATCTATGTTGTGATGGCGACCTCTAACTTTTCTTTGCAGTAGCCTTCTATATGTGCATGTGTATATCCATTCAAACTTTATATTAAATTCTCTTATTTATGTCGATTTTTCTTATCTGTGTCATTAAGGTCAATTATGGAGATTTCTTACAATAATTTGATTACACGCACAGCTGGAAAAGGAGCGTTGAGGACTGGAGTGAGGATCCTAGGACAAAAATGAGAACCTCTTCCCATTCCACCAAGTGATCAACACCAAACCTTCTCTCAGTGAAGAATTAGGCAAGCACCAAGTGCAGTGTACCTTTCAGTTCTCCAATAAGCAAATCAAACTTCTTTGCTATTGCCCACATTCATTCAGTTTATTGAGGTAGCTGTAAACAGCAGACATAGCACTCCATCCAATTTCTGCCCTCCCCTTTATTATTTAACTTTGCTCCTCCTTTGACATCATTTAATTTAAGCACATCATGCATCTTTCATATTGCTAAACTATGCCAGCATTCATTAATTTGTTTGTGTTCTCTCTCAGTTATTCGTATCATTAGTTCATTAAATATAAAATAAGACAGAACAGAAAGGATTGTAGCCTTTTGCCTTAACACCCGGAGTGCTCTTTCTAAAGGAACAGACATACTAATTAGTTCAGTATCATTTTAGCTTTGATTTATTTTTTATACCAAAGCAGCTGCAAATCACAGCCGAAATCTCACATCTACGGTAACAACTTTTCCATTTCCCTACAAACCCAAAGCATCGCATGGTAATTCTCAACTGCATTGCACTTTCCTCTTATTTATCCACTCGGGAAAAAAAAAAAAAAAACACGCTTAAAATAAGTAGCAAACAACCCCATGGTTAGCAAAGATCTCCCAAACAACAAGCGTTCTGTGTTTGATGTTTGAAGAAACGAATGAAGAAAAAGAAAAACTTACAGGGGGGAAGCAACGGATACCAAGATTCTTTGGAGGAGGTGTAATTTCAATGACTTTATAAGGGTAGGAACGGTCTCTGTCTCTTTCTTTCTTTCTGCATGTTACATCAAGTGTTGGTGTCTGCTGCCAAATTATAGTTAGAGAGCAATTACTGAAAAATGATTATATGTGAGAAAACATGAATAGATCAATTACGAATCAATTTAAAGAAAACCTCCGTGAATTGGTGATTGATTCACACCTTCTGATACGCACCTACATTCCAAGACGCCATTGTCATGCTTCTGCTCTCTCTCTCTCTCTCTCTGCGAGTCTACTTTCTTTCTTTTGCGTGTCTGTAATTGAGAGTGGAAGAGTGGAAAAAGGAAAGCCACAAAAATATAAAGATCTTTTCTTTTTGACAATTAAGAAGAAAAGACTATAGAAAAAGAACAAAAAAAAAAGAGGTGCTAATTTTAGGAAGGTAGATACTTTAATTTTTAAAAAAAATTCTAAAACTTGCTCACATAAGTCAATCTAGATTATCTTTTTGTTTTAGTAATTAAAAAAACATTTTTATAAAATTTTTATTTTTTATTTTTTTAATTAATATTTTTAATATTTTTAGATAACTTTAGTATATTAATATCAAAAATAAAATTTTTAAAAAATTATTTTAATATATTTCTAAGTAAAAATAATGGCCACTAGAATATTAAACAAACACTCTAAAAATATAATTATATAAATTTAAATACAAGTCTTAAAATAAAATAAAATCGCATAAATTAAAGTACATAAAATTAAATAATTTGATAAAAAAATAAAATAAAAATTTCAAGAAAAAAAAAATGCTAATATATTCAACTGAATTATAATTTATGTGATAAAATAATAAAACTCTATTTATATTACTGTAGAGTTTGAATTCTATTTATATAAATAGTTCTACATACACTAATATCATATAAAAAAATTATTAAATAATACAAGACAAATCCTTTTTTTTTATTAAAAGACAAATCCTTTTTTTTATTAAATAACACTTGAATCTTAGTCTTATATTTCTTATTTGATTGGTTATTCCATTGATGATTCTCATTCTGAGAAGGATAGTATCTTCTTAGTTGTGTGCATTTTTTTTATTGTTTTTTTTATGATTGATAATAAGAAGGATAGTATCTCCTTAGTTGTGTGCATTTTCAAACTTTATTTTTTATTGTTTTTTTTATGATTGATAATAACTTTTGGTAACTTAGTTGACTAGTTCATTGCTTCTTTAAGACTCTTAATCGAACTAAATACTTTTTTAACTCAATCAATTGTTTTAACTCATAATTAATTTTAGCTTTCTATTCTTATTTTGTGATGAATAATCGTTGTTTTTTATGCTTGATACATGTATTTTTTTAGGTAAAAACAATACCTTTCTTATTTTTTTATTTCTTAAATGAATGATTATTAACCCTATCAAACATGTACTAAAATTAAATTAAGTATGATATGAAAAATAATATTATTCATCTAAATTAATTTAATTTAAAAATTACACGCTCTTTGAATTTTAGGTAGGATATTTAGGTTAAATTACACCGAATTCATTATCTCTTATAAAATCTAAATATTATTTAAAAACCCTAGATAATGTTTTTTTGTAAAGATTCAATTAAAAACCTCAAATAATCTACATTCTTTCAAAAATTAAATGGTAGCTTTAAATTTTGTTCTAAAATAAGCCCTCTTAAATAGAGTACTTTCCTCACATTGAATGATCTACTATAAGTACTAGTCATAGCAAATATATATATATATATATATATATATATAGATCTTTACATTTCCAATACTTCAAAAGAGAAGGAATTCATTTTTAAACTAATTATATAAATTTAAAAATATAGAAGAAAATTATCTTATTATAGCCAAAAGTTGTTCTTGTAGATTGTATTAGATGGTTGGGAAAAACACATCATTAAGCTTATAATAAAAAAATTATTGTATTTTTAATAGGATTCAACTATCACGTATCATGTTAAAACTCAACAAAAAGCTTCTAGCAGCCTTTTCCTTATTTTAGTATAAATCTAGCAATACCTTCGTATTCATGTATGTATTACAAACCATTAGTCTTTATGACTTGGCTATAATAAATTATCTCTACCTAGTTGATGAAGAACTCTTGTACAATACATTTATTATAAATATAAAATCAACCACTTTAATTTTAAAAGATCTTAAACTTTATGCAAAGTATCTTGCAAATCCTTTTTAGTTTAATTTCTCTAATTCTCAAGTGGATCAAAAGAATTAGAATTGGTGTCTTTAAGATTTTTTTCTTGTACTTGACAAAAAAAAATTAGAAACAATTTTATTGCTATTATCATTTTCATTTTCAATCATGAAATCTATATTACACATGTAAAATCAAACATTTTAATTTTAAAAGACCTTGAAACTTTATGCAAAGGATCTTGCGAATCCTTTTTAGTTTAATTCCTCCAATCCTCCGATGGATCAAAAAAACTAGTGTCCTTAAGACCTTTTTCTTGTACTTGATAAAAAAATAGAAACAATTTTATTACTATTGTCATATGTATTTTTAATCATGAAATCTTCATTGCTTTATTTATCAAGACAATCATGTTTGATGTGTATGGTCGATTAATCGATGATTATAGTAAGGGTAATGCCATGATTATTAAAGATAATCTAGTATCTAGATCCATGTTGAGCCAAGTTATTGGCTTTTTTATTGTTTTTTCTCATTAAAAAAACAAAAATAAAATTAAAAATCTCTTAATGAGATTTGTGGCCATAATCTAATATGGAATTAAAGTTGATATTTCACACTTATGAACTAGATAATTACTTGAATAATAAGTAATGAATTCATTATTATATGATTGATTGTGCTCCTGTTTGTTGGAGTATCTTCAAGCTTAAATTAAGTTCACCTATTCATCATCGTTATTTGTGCAAAGAAAATAAAGCTAAAAAAATAAGGTCATTTTATGACCTATTTGGGATATTAACCCTACATCAATTTTGTTTATAGTCTTTTATCCATTAAACCATAATTACTATGTAAATGGTTCTACAATAATACTTTTAATATCTTGTTTCAATTCATAGTATATATTAATGTAAGGATGAGAAACTAAGAAATCACTTAAGGCTCATTCTTCAACTATTTTTTTATGGTATGTAAATGGTTCTACAATGTTAATCTTCATTTATTGATACAATATCTTTAAAAAAAAAAAAAGGCTTTGACAACATATATTCAAGTGATACAATATCTTTTTTAAAAAAAAGGCTTTGACAACATATATTCAAACACTATTTATGATAGGATATTGTTAATTGATCCTTCTAATATTGAAATATACAATCTTATACACTTTCCAAGCCTTGAGAGGGCTAACTCTAGGGTCTAACTAAACAAGCTCTTATGTATTCAAAGACAACTTGTATCTTTTCATTCATTAAAACTCATTAAAGCTTTTCCTTTCACCAACTAAATAAAAGGTCTAATCTTCCTTGCAATATTTAAAATAAACCTTTTTACAAAATTAATCTTGCCAATAAGATTTTGCATCCATTATAGCTTGTTCTTTATTTTTGTTTACCTTTATGCCTCACTAATGCACTAAAAATCCCTAGCAAATTATATATTTATACTTCTAAGGCTCGTTTTAAGGGATTCATTTTTAAACTAATACATCCTCATTAGTTCAAATCAATATAAAGTTCATTTAGTTAGTGGATCTTGATTTTAATTTTATCATAATATCATTAATTTAAACCTTCATATTATGATTAATCATATCATGAAAGATTAAGTTCATAGTTCTTTTATTTGTTGCACTTATATTTTTCAATTTAAAAGGCATTATCACTTATTCTCTCATTTCCAGTGAAGGTAGTCTTGGAAATATTATCTTTTTCATTGAACATTTATTCATAACTAGGTGACCTTTCATAAAACTATGTATTTCATTTCTAGATGCATTTATAAGCATATCAGTCATTGGTATAGAATATTCATCTTTTAAAGTTACATGATTTAGATTTTTAAAATTTGATGCATAACTTGGTATTCATTTTTAACACTAGTATTAAATATCTATTCACTATATCTCACTAGCTTAATAAATCCAGATTCTAAAAGTCATTCAATTTTTTCCTTCACATGATCAATCATGTTTAGAGACACTCTCCAAAAAAGTTATATAAGTGGCTTGAAACCAAGCTTGATTGGTAAAGAATGTTTGACCAAGCTTCTATATAATCCAAGCATCTCATTGTAACACTAGGAAAAATAGTCTTTGTACATGTTAAATTTACTAATAATTTTTTTTTTCTGAAGCTCTTGTAATATACATGTATTTATAAAGGTTGGTTTAATCCTATTTTCAATCCTAAGTGAACTTGAATTAGTGTGTCCTAAACTTCAACTTATCCATCATCCATATTTTGTGGTGTTAGAGGAAAGCTTGTCATATCGAGAAAGATCAATCTATGGTCTTAATGTGGCTTTAGTTAACAAATTCAATTATATTGTCCTATACACTTATAGGCTTTATTGAAAGCCTCAAAACATTCTATTAAGCTATAATGATTCATTTAATCTTGTGGCTCATATTTTAGACTATTTTCTTCTCAATATAGGTTATTTGGTCTAGAAAAATCTATTATGAATCACTAAATGTGTGTTATCTTCTTTCTAATAAAGAAGCCAATAGGGTGATCCATGTTATACATGTCTATGAATTAGACTAGATCAATATCATCATTATATAACCATGCATTTGTCATCCTTAAATTAACAAAAAATGATTTAACATCCATCAAAACTATATCAGCTAGTCCATCTCATAACCAAACTATTAAGGTCTAATGTAAAGATGATGGCGCACCCTTATTAGGATGTATTAAGTTTCATCCAAGTTGGGTGTTATAGTGATTAGTACTTAAAAGTGCATTTTTATCATGGT